GTCAGACACACACACAGAGAGACAGTCACAGACACAGACAGTCGGACACAGACAGACGGACACACACACACACACACACACAGCCAGACGCACACACACACACAGTCAGGTGGACACAGACAGACGGACACACACACACACACACACACACACACACACACACAGTCAGACGGACAGACACAGACGCACACACACACAGTCAGGTGGACACACACACACAGAGAGAGAGAGACAGGCAGACAGACAGACACAGACACACACACACAGTCAGGTGGACACAGATAGACGGACACACACACACAGACAGTTGCTGATATAAACACAGACACACACACACACACAGACTGTTGCTGATATAAACACACACAGACACACACACACACACACAGACTGTTGCTGATATAAACACACACAGACACACACACACACACACACAGACTGTTGCTGATATAAACACACACAGACACACACACACACACACACACACAGACTGTTGCTGATATAAACACACACAGACACACACACAGACACACACACACACACAGACTGTTGCTGATATAAACACACACAGACACACACACACACACACACACACAGACTGTTGCTGAAATAAAGGGCGTTGGCACTGATTGGCAGAGAGCAAGCGAGCGCTGTTGGCGGGTTCTGGTGAACTATACACTGGTGTGTGACGGATGTGAGCGCACCTTCATGGGAACGTTCTAGATTTTAATAAGATGGACATTTTGAGATTTAATTTTTTATTGTGCATCTGCAAGCACTGTAAAAACATTGATATACACTGGCAAGAACTACAGGTGCCTTCATACAAAAACATCTTCACATGCAAAAGAAAACAATCCTCTTCAAATGTACACAATGAAGGAGCGGTGACAGAGACACGTGTGGCCAGACCGAAGAGGAGGAGCATCAGTCCGGCCTTCGTTTCACAGACAGGTTAAAATATAAAACAACATGACATTTAAAAAAAGGTGAATCGCAACACATTTATAAAAACACATAAACTTTGAGCAGAAGTTCCCTCAAACAAACACCGAGCGCTCAGTCATTATTAGTGTGACGAAACTAATGCAGATTATTAGTGGAAGATTGACTGGTGACGCAACTGAAGAGAGGCATGATGGGATACTAACACCATCGCATCTGAAAGACGAGCTCATACTGGAGTGTGTGAAGGAACCCAAACGCCGGATGAACACACACACACACACACACACTCCTCGGGATCAGGGAAATCCTGCATGAGGCTTTCATTCGCTCACAGATGAACCGGAGAATCGCTGAGGATCTGCAGTCAGGATTTTTGTTCAGTTGTGAAAGATACGTGATCAAGTATTAAACAAAACAAACAAACAAACAAACAAACAGAGACCGTAAACAATCACTGATATAAACACAGCCGTATAAAGTCCATCAAACACTGTAGATGTGATGAATCTTCTGTTCTCTTCAGTAATTAAGATCAGTGTTCTGGAGTGTTTCTGGAGTCCCGTCTGCAGTGTGTGTGAGTGTGTGTGTCAGTGTGTTGGTCTTTATAAGCGCTCAACAGTAAACACAGTCACTCACACACACACACACACACACACACACATCCTCTCACACTCGTCTACCTGAGAGACGGTAAGACCAAACGCTCAATCACACAAAGGCAAACGATGGATCCCACCCGGGTCGGATGGGCGGCACTGCTGTCAGTCATCAGACTGGGGGCGGCGCCGGAGGGGCGTGGCCTGAGGGGGCGGAGCCTGGGGGCGTGGCTACAAGCCTTCCTGCAGTTCTTTAGCTTTAATGAGGATGGCGTGAACATCAGAGATGGGATAATCCTGAAAAACAGCAGATAGAGTGGAGGTTAGAGGGCGATATTATCCTGTGTGTGTGTGTGTGTGTGTGTGTGTGTGAGTGAGTGAGTGAGTGCTTTTTTTTTGTGATATATGAGGACACAAATGTGTATAATGACATGCATATTACACTGGTATTACAACTTACACGTGATATATGAGGACATTGCATGAGTCCTCATATTTCAAATAGCTTAAAAAACGTAAAAAAACAATGTGTTTTTTTTTATGTAAAAGTGCAGCATGTCTCCTGTGATGGGCAGGTTTAGGGATGGGGCAGTGTGTGTGTGTGTGTGTGATGGGCAGGTTTAGGGATGGGGCAGTGTGTGTGTGTGATGGGCAGGTTTAGGGATAGGGGCAGTGTAGGGGGATAGAATATACAGTTTGTCCAGTATAAAAGTCATTACGCCTATGGAATGTCCTCATATATCACAAAAACACAGCTGTGTGAGAGTGTGTGTGTGTGAGTGAGTGAGTGAGTGAGTGTGTGTGTGTGTGTGTGTGTGTGTGTGAGAGAGTGTGTGAGTGAGTGAGTGAGTGAGTGAGTGAGTGAGTGAGTGAGTGAGTGAGTGAGTGAGTGAGTGAGTGTGTGTGTGTGTGTGTGTGAGAGAGTGTCTGTGTGTGTGAGTGTGTGTGTGTGTGTGTTACCTGCAGTAATCTCATGTTGGTTGTAAAGTCTCCAGCCAGTAACTGATCTCGAATCAGTCTGCAAAAACACAGAGTTAAAGCACAGATGAAAAACCAGCCAATGTGAAATAACGGAGGACGCGTTAGTGGCATTATACAGTAGTTTTACAGTAGCGGTATACAGTAGCGGTATACAGTAGCGTTATACAGTAGCGTTATACAGTAGCGTTATACAGTAGCGGTATACAGTAGCGGTATACAGTAGCGTTATACAGTAGCGTTATACAGTAGCGGTATACAGTAGCGGTATACAGTAGCGGTATACAGTAGCGGCATACAGTAGCGGCATACAGTAGCGGTATACAGTAGCGTTATACAGTAGCGTTATACAGTAGCGTTATACAGTAGCGGTATACAGTAGCGGCATACAGTAGCTGTATACAGTAGCGGCATACAGTAGCGGCATACAGTAGCGTTATACAGTAGCGGCATACAGTAGCGGCATACAGTAGCGGTATACAGTAGCGGTATACAGTAGCGGTATACAGTAGCGTTATACAGTAGCGGCATACAGTAGCGGTATACAGTAGCGGTATACAGTAGCGGTATACAGTAGCGTTATACAGTAGCGGTATACAGTAGCGGTATACAGTAGCGGTATACAGTAGCGGCATACAGTAGCGGCATACAGTAGCGGTATACAGTAGCGTTATACAGTAGCGTTATACAGTAGCGGTATACCGTAGCGGCATACAGTAGCTGTATACAGTAGCGGTATACAGTAGCGGTATACAGTAGCGTTATACAGTAGCGGCATACAGTAGCGGCATACAGTAGCGGCATACAGTAGCGTTATACAGTAGCGGCATACAGTAGCGGCATACAGTAGCGGCATACAGTAGCGGTATACAGTAGCGGTATACAGTAGCGTTATACAGTAGCGGTATACAGTAGCGGTATACAGTAGCGGTATACAGTAGCGGTATACAGTAGCGGTATACAGTAGCGGTATACAGTAGCGTTATACAGTAGCGTTATACAGTAGCGGTATACAGTAGCGGTATACAGTAGCGTTATACAGTAGCGGTATACAGTAGCGGTATACAGTAGCGGTATACAGTAGCGGTATACAGTAGCGTTATACAGTAGCGGTATACAGTAGCGTTATACAGTAGCGGCATACAGTAGCGGTATACAGTAGCGGTATACAGTAGCGTTATACAGTAGCGGTATACAGTAGCGGTATACAGTAGCGGTATACAGTAGCGGTATACAGTAGCGGTATACAGTAGCGGTATACAGTAGCGTTATACAGTAGCGTTATACAGTAGCGGTATACAGTAGCGTTATACAGTAGCGGCATACAGTAGCGGTATACAGTAGCGGTATACAGTAGCGTTATACAGTAGCGTTATACAGTAGCGGTATACAGTAGCGGTATACAGTAGCGGTATACAGTAGCGGTATACAGTAGCGTTATACAGTAGCGTTATACAGTAGCGGTATACAGTAGCGGTATACAGTAGCGGTATACAGTAGCGGTATACAGTAGCGGTATACAGTAGCGGTATACAGTAGCGGTATACAGTAGCGTTATACAGTCCAGATCGCTTCACAGTAATAAACAGAAATATCAGCATCAATGATCAAACTCAAATATGAGACAAATTCAGTTTCAGCTGTAAAGCGATCGTAAATCTCACACTGCCCGAGTCGGCACTGCATCTAAACCTGAACCTCACAACTGTTAAACAGTGTGTTGTGTGTAGTATGTATACGGGTCGTTTGAGTGCAATTCGGACGGACTACATCCGCCATGTTGTTACTGTCACGTGACGCGTCACAAATCGTCTCCCGTGGCCTCATGGGATAGCAGAGAGCCCATCATATGCACACTTCAGACTCTCAGAGGAGGTAGCGGGTCATCCGGGGACTCACACTCACTCACGCTATAGTGGAGAAGGGCTCGCAGCGAATCTTTATTCAAACAATTCAGCTCAAGTTTTGCTCTCATCTAATATCGTCAGTGCAGTCAAATCTAAAATATTACTGAACATTAAGTGTGTCTGAAGCCCGTGTGTGAGACTGATCTTACGTGAGCATGGCGCAGCACACAGGGATGATGAACTCAAACCGATCCTGATCCGAAAAGAGCGAATCCCAGATCCGGACAACATCTGGAAGCAGGAACTCCTGAGAGAGCAGCAGCGTCAGCCAGCGGAAGGTGAAATACTGAGGCTTGATGTTCTGCTCTTGCTGTCAGACAGACAGATGGAGAGACAGACAGATGGAGAGACAGACAGATGGACAGACAGACAGATGGAGAGAAAGACAGATGGAGAGACAGACAGATGGAGAGACAGACAGACAGATGGACAGACAGACAGATGGAGAGAAAGACAGATGGAGAGACAGACAGATGGAGAGACAGACAGATGGAGAGACAGATGGAGAGATGGAGAGACAGACAGATGGAGAGACAGACAGATGGAGAGACAGATGGAGAGACAGACAGATGGAGAGACAGACAGATGGAGAGAGAGAGAGAGATGGAGAGACAGACAGATGGAGAGATGGAGAGACAGACAGATGGAGAGACAGACAGATGGAGAGACAGACAGATGGAGAGACAGATGGAGAGACAGATGGAGAGATGGAGAGACAGACAGATGGAGAGATGGAGAGACAGACAGATGGAGAGAAAGACAGATGGAGAGAGAGACAGATGGAGAGATGGAGAGACAGACAGATGGATAGAGGAGAGACAGACAGATGGAGAGAAAGACAGATGGAGAGAGAGACAGATGGAGAGACAGACAGATGGAGAGACAGACAGATGGAGAGACAGACAGATGGAGAGACAGATGGAGAGACAGATGGAGAGATGGAGAGACAGACAGATGGAGAGATGGAGAGACAGACAGATGGAGAGAAAGACAGATGGAGAGAGAGACAGATGGAGAGATGGAGAGACAGACAGATGGAGAGAGGAGAGACAGACAGATGGAGAGAAAGACAGATGGAGAGAGAGACAGATGGAGAGAAAGACAGATGGACAGACAGACAGATGGAGAGAAAGACAGATGGAGAGACAGACAGATGGAGAGACAGACAGACAGATGGACAGACAGACAGATGGAGAGAAAGACAGATGGAGAGACAGACAGATGGAGAGACAGACAGATGGAGAGACAGATGGAGAGATGGAGAGACAGACAGATGGAGAGACAGACAGATGGAGAGACAGATGGAGAGACAGACAGATGGAGAGACAGACAGATGGAGAGAGAGAGAGAGATGGAGAGACAGACAGATGGAGAGATGGAGAGACAGACAGATGGAGAGACAGACAGATGGAGAGACAGACAGATGGAGAGACAGATGGAGAGACAGATGGAGAGATGGAGAGACAGACAGATGGAGAGATGGAGAGACAGACAGATGGAGAGAAAGACAGATGGAGAGAGAGACAGATGGAGAGATGGAGAGACAGACAGATGGATAGAGGAGAGACAGACAGATGGAGAGAAAGACAGATGGAGAGAGAGACAGATGGAGAGACAGACAGATGGAGAGACAGACAGATGGAGAGACAGACAGATGGAGAGACAGATGGAGAGACAGATGGAGAGATGGAGAGACAGACAGATGGAGAGATGGAGAGACAGACAGATGGAGAGAAAGACAGATGGAGAGAGAGACAGATGGAGAGATGGAGAGACAGACAGATGGAGAGAGGAGAGACAGACAGATGGAGAGAAAGACAGATGGAGAGAGAGACAGATGGAGAGATGGAGAGACAGACAGATGGAGAGACAGAAAGACAGACAGATGGAGAGACAGACAGACAGAGAGACAGACAGATGGAGAGACAGAGAGACAGACAGACAGACAGATAGACAGATGGAGAGACAGACAGACAGACAGAGAGACAGACAGATGGAGAGACAGACAGACAGACAGATGGAAAGACAGACAGACAGACAGACAGACAGATGGAGAGATGGAGAGACAGACAGATGGAGAGACAGACAGATGGAGAGACAGATGGAGAGACAGACAGATGGAGAGACAGACAGATGGAGAGACAGACAGATGGAGAGACAGATGGAGAGATGGAGAGACAGACAGATGGAGAGACAGACAGATGGACAGACAGACAGACAGATGGACAGACAGACAGATGGAGAGAAAGACAGATGGAGAGACAGACAGATGGAGAGACAGACAGATGGAGAGACAGATGGAGAGATGGAGAGACAGACAGATGGAGAGATGGAGAGACAGACAGATGGAGAGACAGATGGAGAGACAGACAGATGGAGAGACAGACAGATGGAGAGAGAGAGAGAGATGGAGAGACAGACAGATGAAGAGATGGAGAGACAGACAGATGGAGAGATGGAGAGACAGACAGATGGAGAGACAGACAGATGGAGAGACAGACAGATGGAGAGACAGACAGATGGAGAGAGAGAGATGGAGAGACAGATGGAGAGATGGAGAGACAGATGGACAGATGGAGAGACAGACAGATGGAGAGACAGATGGAGAGACAGACAGATGGAGAGACAGACAGATGGAGAGAAAGAGAGAGATGGAGAGACAGACAGATGAAGAGATGGAGAGACAGACAGATGGAGAGATGGAGAGACGGACAGATGGAGAGACAGATGGAGAGATGGAGAGACAGACAGATGGAGAGACAGACAGATGGAGAGAGAGATGGAGAGATGGAGAGAGAGACAGATGGAGAGATGGAGAGACAGACAGATGGAGAGACAGACAGATGGAGAGAGAGATGGAGAGATGGAGAGATGGAGAGATGGAGAGACAGACAGATGGAGAGACAGACAGATGGAGAGACAGACAGATGGAGAGAAAGACAGATGGAGAGAGAGACAGATGGAGAGATGGAGAGACAGACAGATGGAGAGACAGACAGATGGAGAGACAGATGGAGAGATGGAGAGACAGACAGATGGAGAGACAGATGGAGAGACAGACAGATGGAGAGACAGACAGATGGAGAGAGAGAGAGAGATGGAGACAGACAGATGGAGAGATGGAGAGACAGACAGATGGAGAGACAGACAGATGGAGAGAAAGACAGATGGAGAGAGAGACAGATGGAGAGATGGAGAGACAGACAGATGGAGAGAGGAGAGACAGACAGATGGAGAGAAAGACAGATGGAGAGAGAGACAGATGGAGAGATGGAGAGAGAGACAGATGGAGAGACAGAAAGACAGACAGATGGAGAGACAGACAGACAGACAGAGAGACAGACAGATGGAGAGACAGAGAGACAGACAGACAGACAGATAGACAGATGGAGAGACAGACAGACAGACAGAGAGACAGACAGATGGAGAGACAGAGAGACAGACAGACAGACAGATAGACAGATGGAGAGACAGACAGACAGACAGACAGACAGACAGATGGAAAGACAGACAGACAGACAGAGAGACAGATGGAGAGACAGACAGACAGACAGACAGACAGACACAGACAGATGGAGAGACAGACAGACAGACAGAGAGACAGACAGATGGAGAGACAGACAGACAGACAGATGGAGAGACAGACAGATGGTTAGTAAAACTGTCAAAACAATATCAATATCTGTGTTTCCATCCAAAGTTGCAAATATGTCATAAAACACGTGTGAATAAAGCAGCGTTTCCATCCAGTAAGACGAAGAGAACAAAACATGATATTTTGCTCCATTTATCAGGTAATAACTGCAAATATTTCTTAAATATATACATGCATGTGTGTGTATTTATATATACAAAATAATTATACACAGTACACACTAATATATTATATAAACACAACTTTTATTTTGGATGTGATTAATAGCCCTGTTTTGTCATATAAAGTTGGACAGTGATTTTTAGTTTGTAGACTTTGTGTTTATGCCATGATAACTCTAAATATTAATCATCACGGGTCTCATTTATAAAACTGTCCGTAGGATCCTTACTAAAAGTGTACGTGCGTCCGAAAGCCAAAAATGGCGTACGCTAAAAAATATTCTGACTTATAAAACCGTGCGTACGCCAGAACCTGCGCAGAATTCACTTTATAAATCCCAGTCAGCGGAAGATTGTGCGCACACGCGTCTCCTCCCCGAAACAACCATATATGAGCTTACAACGCCTCGTTTTACTATGCATATCCTCATCTGCATATCATTTGCATATGATTATTCATCCACGTGATAACATGTTTAACGGTACAAGACATTAGGAAAATATGAAATACGGATGTGCCGTCACATTAGTTACATTAATAAAAAATAATTTAGTAGCCTTATCCTTGCCTTGTTTTTGAATAAATAAATCAAATAGCCTAGTGTAAAATACATTTCAGAGAAAGTTTTTCTCAATCTTTTTCACTGGCCAAAGAGTATTTTTAATTGATTTATATTTTTAATGGAAACAGATAGACCTTGTTGTGCATTATTTGGACGAAACTATTTTCTCAGACAATCTGCTATTATCATGATAAGCAATTATCTCTGTAGTTAAAACATTAAAACACAGCATGCCAGAGGAAAAGTGTTTGAAAGCATTGCATCCACAACAAATTTTCTATTTATTGAATATAAAAAAATGTTGTAACTTCTCAGTAATGATTTCATGTAATTTAAGTGTTAATTAAATCTAACTCCATTCATCAGAATGGCATATTTAATCTAAATGTTTATATCAGAAGTAAAACATAGTTTAAATCATTCTTTTATTTATTTAAACTGTTATTGTGAACATATTTCACAGAACACTGTATTTATGATTATAATGAAGATTTACGGTTTTAGATGCGTCAGTTTCACTAAACGGCCCAACGCGCTCGTTGGCGCGGACATTTAAAAAGGGATGGATGTTTGCTTCATGTGATAGGCTTGGTGAGTAAAATTATAACTATTTGTATTATCTTTCTGTATACTGTATGTATAATTTTCTTTAGATTTTCTGTCTAAAAGTGACCAAAAAGACATTTAGCTCCAGCTCACCATCGGTGTCGCCAAACTGCTCCGTCTCCAAAACGTGCGTACGCACGGCTCAAAGTTTCCTTAACCCTCTGGGGACCAGAAACGCGCCGGCGCGTTTTGCCGTTTTTTTTTCACATAGCAGAAAAATAGACTTAAAATACTCTGTTGATTTTGATCGTACATATAAGTGTTATACATCAATCGATCCTGTTAATTGTCTATTATTTTTCTGTATACTCACAATAAAAACAAA